CCGAACCACATCGTCAGCATCCAGCGCTGGGTCAGCGCGTGTCGTGGCGGACGTGCAGAGTCCGTGTTTTTCGTGCGCTACAGCGCCAGGAAAACCAGCTGATCCTGTTCGCCGACGACACGAACCACCGCTGGGTGACGGCCACCTGTCTGCTCGACTACGACACGGTGGCGGCGGCGGACAAGTTCGGGAACGTGGCCGTGGGGGAGCGCGCCCCGTCTCGTGCAGCGCGCCGCGCGGCGGCCATTACAGGGTCGTGGGGCAGCTTAGCGCGTTCACGGTCCAGCTGGGTCCAGGGGGATTTGGACGCCCGAGTAAATTGCAGCTGGCGGTGTTGAGTTTTGTCTGTTGTCCTGTATGACTTCATTGGTATGCGTGGCCCACCTGACGCCCCGATACCGCCCGCCAGCTGCGTCTGCCCACCGGCACCAACGACGACGTGGACGAGGACCCGACAGGCAACAAGGCGCTGTGGGACCGCGGTCTGCTGGGCGGTGCCTCGCAAAAGGCCGACGTCCTCTGCCAGTTCCACATCGGCGAGACGGTGCTCTCGCTGCAGGTGAGTGCCCGCCGCTGCCGGCGCCGCCGCCGCCGCCGCCGCCGCTGTGTCGGCTGCCGCGCGTCATGTCCGCCACCTTCGTGTTCCGTCTGCCTCGTCCGGCCGGCTGACTCGCGCTCTGTCGACGCCGGCAGAGGGCGACGCTGATCCCGGGCGGCAGCGAGTCTCTCGTGTACACCACCATCTCAGGCACGATCGGCGTACTGGTGCCGTTCACTTCGCACGAGGACATGGACTTCTTCCAGCACCTGGAGATGCACATGCGCTCGGAGAACGCGCCGCTGTGCCCGCGACCACCTCTCATTCCGCAGCTACTACTTCCCCGTCAAGGTGAGCCGCGGCCGGGGCACGCCGTGGGGGAATGGGAGGGGAGAGGGTAGTTAAATGCGAGAGGCTAGTTAAATGCAGTATAATTGGTAAGGGTTCCCAGTAATTCTTGCTGTCACTTGTTGTGCATCCGGCTCAAGGATATTTACACTGACGGTCAGATGTACGCCGCAATTTAGTTGTGTGCATGAGGCAACTGCAAATAAGATGGTGACACTTTAAGTTCAAAAAAGGTTTTTGATAGACCGAATGAATCCCTAAAATACTCCTTTCATTAGCATGCTCAGTTCATCCGCGTCCAGCATGCTACGGCGGCGCGCATGATGGCTCTTCGTAAGGGTGACATTTGTTGAAGTGCGTCCATAGTTCTGGTGTGTAGGAGATACTAATTTCATATGCCACTGGTAAGTCATAATCCAATTATTCAACAACATGTTGGACCTTAACTGCCATCTCTGCTTCCAGAACGTGCTGGACGGCGACATGTGCGAACAGTACAACACAATCGACATGGCCAAGCAGAAGTCGATCGCCGAAGACCTGGACCGCACCTCGAGCGAAGTGTCCAAGAAGCTTGAGGACATCCGGACCCGCTACGCTTTCTAAGTGGCGGCGTCTGTCCCGTCGATGGTGTCCGGGGTGTTTGTGGCGGCAGATATCCCAGCTTGCGGTGGTCGAGGATGTGCTGGCTTTTCGTGCGGAGCGGCGTACATGTCTGGCTGCTGGCGTTGCGCTGCCGTCCAGTGAGGACGCGTTGCAACGCTGCACTTCGCCGTCGCGCTGCCAGCAAGCGGTGATCCGACCGAGCAAACGTGTCACAGTCTTATAGAGGCCGCGCGTGTCTCTGTCATGTATCATATTTCACGAAACGCGTAATAATGATGTCATGTACCATTGCCTGGATTTGGTTGTCGACCCGAAGGGACAGACCTCACCGGCGGCGCTGCGAAGGGTTGGCCAATCCAGAAATGTCATCTCGTCAGGTATGTCATTGTTTTCTTCTTATTCCTCCATTCACTTTCCCAGGATGTTTCCTGTGAAAGCAACGTAGTGCGGATTTGTCCTCACCTCCGCTTGAATGCCACTTCCTTTTTCGGAAACGAGAGATCCAGTTATGTTCAGCTATTCTTTACTCTAGTATCTGGGGGTATCGCCCAGCAGAGCCCGTGGAAGGCGACGCTGCAGTTTGTGCACCAGATGAAGCTGATCGAGCAGTATCCTGGCGGTCATTCGCCCATGCCACGGCCGATCCCCTCCTGCCAGACCGCTGCGCGACCACTCGCAGAAGATGCCCACGAAATGCAAGAGCTTTGTCTCCATATCGGTCTAAACAGGTGATTACGACTGATGGTACGACGTGCTTGTCATTCGGTCTTTGGGTGTAGCTGTACTGTGATTTATAATGGCATGTAATTATGGCACCATATGAGCTAGTTACTGTCGTGTGCGGTGCGGTATGATGTTCGCACCGTGTTTCACCTGAGGTACCCACCACTGATTAAGGCCTCGCGCTGACCTGTAACTGCCTGCCCCCGTCTGCGGTGTTCTTGTAACCCCAACTGAAGGGGCCGACCTTTACTCTGCCGCAGTGTTGTGATGTACACCATCAGCATCCAGACGCGCACGTGAGCATCCTGAACGTCAAGCGAAAACTCACGAAATGCAAGAGCTTTGTCTTCATATTGATCTAAACAGGTAATTACGACTGATGGTACGACGTGCTTGTCATTTGGTCTTTGGGTGCAGCTGTACCGTGATTATGGCACCATATGGGCTAGTTATTGTGTGCAGTACGGTATGATGTTCGCACCGTGTTTCACCTGAGGTACCCACCACTGATTAAGACCTCGCGCTGACATGTAACTGCCTGCCCCCCTGTCTGCGGTGTCCTTGTAACCCAACTGAAGGGGCCGACCTTTACTCTGCCGCAGTGTTGTGATGTACACCATCAGCATCCAGGACGAGCACGTGGTCATCCCGAACGTCAAGCGAAGCAAGAAGAATCCGCGGAATAACGTGAAATGCTGGACAATGAAACAAAGTGCATTCTCAAGGAACTGGAGAATCCCAAGCCTGAAATTCGCAACATGCTTCATATAGGTAAGTCTGACCCCCCAAATGTCCGCGTGGTCACTCACTCCCAGTACGAGTCGACCTGGTCACCTTTCTGAGCACGTCATTTGAGGCTGCTCACCAGAGTTGTGCAGTACGGTATGATGTTCGCACCGTGTTTCACCTGAGGTACCCACCACTGATTAAGATCTCGCGCTGACCTGTAACTGGCCGCCCCCGTCTGCAATGCCCTTGTAACCCCAACTGAAGGAGCCGATCCTTACTCTGCTGCAGTGCTGTGATGTACATCATCAGCATCCAGGACGCGCACGTGATCTTCCTGAACGTCAAGCGAAATCAACAATCCGTGGAATAATGGAAAACGCGGCACGGTGGTGTGCTATATCAAGACTGGAGAACACCAGAGCCTGAAATTCGCGGCGCGCCGTCTGTAGGTAGGTCCGACTCCCCAAATGTCTGGCGATCAATTACTCACGCCATTCGGGACTGCTTCTCTCGGATTGTGACGTATGACATGATGTTCGCACCGTGTTTCACCTGAGGTACCCACCACTGATTAATGCTTCGCGCTGACCCGCCAGTAACTGCCCCATTGGCACCTCCTCTGGAACTCAACTGACCGCATCCACCCCTGCCCTGCCGCAGGGCATGCAACTGCAGAACCATGTCGCCGCCATCCAGGACGGTCATGGACTACCGAAGTTTCCAACATCGAGCGACACCTTCCAGACACCTGGAAATATGCATGCTCGCTTCACACCTTACGTGGAGCTCCTCTATCCTTAATACGGTCTGATGCTTGGTACTTGATACTGATTCCTATCTGTGCGAGTGCGGTGTTGGTTGGCCCGCGGCGCGTGCATCGTGGCATGGCGCTATTACCTCACCTTAAGCCCCGAGAGTGTTGAGACGATGTAATGGCGCCGAGCGTCGTGTACTGAGTGCGGCTGGGGCGATTGCTGTAAATGCATATTAAAGATTGCAGCCATGCGGTGCAAGTATATTTCAAAAATACAATAAATGTCTGCTGTAGTTCGGCATTCTCTGCCATGAATAACGGCTGATGAGACCAATAGACCATGGCCGACCATCAACGCGAGAGAACGGTCGCGCTGACCAGCAGCCCCGGCGCGCGCTACGTCGCGCAACGTGTGGCGATCCGGTTGACGACGGCCTCCCCGAGCGTGCCGACGGTCAGCTCGTGATCGGTGACATTTGCGTTGATTGGCAGCCCCGGTGCGCCCTACGTCGCACAGCGTGTGGCGATCCGGTTGACGACGGCCTCCTCGAGCGTGCCGACGGCCAGCTCGTGGTCGGTGACGCCGTACAGCTGGGCGACGGCGGCCGGGTCGGCCAGCGCCCCCAGCTGGTCGGGATGGACAGCTGTGCCATCCAGAGCCTCGTGCAAGGGCGCCAGCCTGGCCGCGTCCTCCACGGCCACAGCGGCCACCGTCGCGTCGTCGGCCGCCGCGCCCAGCGACCGAAACGCCTCAGATATCTGGTGGCAATGGTGCGATGTGATAATGGGGACTCGCTGCAGCTACGGCAGTGGGCTGGCGAATGAGCCGTTTAAGTTTGAATGAAAAATACAATTTTAGCATTTGCACACGGGTCCGCTCAGGGTGGCCGGTTCAGTGCAAGTTTTCAGGGTGGGGATTGATTGCTGAAATCAAAATTGATCACTAGGATGCATTAGCGTACTGCAGGCAGAGAAAATGCAAAAACCAACCTGTTTTCCTGGGGACAGAGAGAATATTATCTCTGAGTTGACATTCCTTGTTTTCAGTGAGCCATCTGCCTGGTTGTGCAGGGCTATGTTGGCTGCCACCAGAAGTTGAAATGAAGAAACTATCTGTAAATTTACATTTTTATGAAACATCTCTTTGATCGGCACATTGTACGGCATATGTCCCGCACACCACCAGGGATGCAGGCAACTGCAGTTGTAACAACAGGGTTACAGGCTACTGGTGATGCAGTTCTATTTCACATTTCCATTGTCCTTAATGGCCTCATTAATATGCGCACAGGTGGCCGGTTGGATGCACCACTTGAGCGGGGGTCAATTTGACCCCTCTGAGATTTCAAAGACCAATATTGATAAGGACACCAAATTCACAGGGTGGGTTCGCCTGTCCGTGAACTCATTAGTGTCAAGGTTTGACATTCCTAGATTACTACCTTGAGGTTGAATGGGGTCAACCAATGTCAAACTTCAAATTGGTGTCTGAAGTGCCCCTTGACTTCATGCGAGTGCTGTGAAGCCAGATACATGTTCTAGGCAAAAGGTCAATGGTGTTCAATGAAGGTCAGTGACCTTGTTTGACCTTAATAACATCAAGGTGCCTCAACACCTTCTACATTGCTCCTATTTTGTCGCCTGAATAAGCAATGTGAACTATGCTAAGCAGCATGTTGCCAGAGACAAAATGTTGACCCACATCATTTAAGGTCAGTGACCTATTTTGACCTTAAAAAGTTCATGGAACATGTCTATTGCAGTCCTTGCCATTCACAAATTTGAAATGAGCACTGTAACTACCCCATAAATAAAGCTCTCAAGTAAAAAAGAACAGCAGTTTTGACCTTCATTCAGCCTTTGTACTTGACACCAAGTAAATGGAATTGGTTGTAATCCTAAATTTAAATTGGTTATGCCTAAGAACCTTTCTCACATATGCCTGGCTTTGTCTGACACTGTTGTCACATCACATTGAGTGATTCCCCTAGAAATGCCCTATGCTTGCTAGCCATGGCCTGCCCTTGGTTTGCCATAGGTTCATTAACCTCACAAGGTGCATCTCCTTTTTACATCGAAAGATGTCTTTCAGGCAGCAGCTACGTTAAGTTTGGTGCTGTTATCTGCACTGTTCAGAAATCATTCTGAAACACCCTCAGAGGGAGAAAGGAATTTGATTCCCCACCCAGCCCATTATATAAACTATATACTTCTGAGTTATTATGAGGGTCATCAGCTACCCATGCTGCCTTAGTTCAGAGGACAGGAAGTTTTAAGGGCCACTTCTGAATTAGACATCACTGTAGCATGCCAGTGATACAGAATGCACAACCAACTGACAATGTGAAGTAAAAATATAGCTATGTAGCTAGATACAAAAACACAAAGGTAGCAGCAAGTATAGTTAATCTACAAAGCTTGGGCCTAAACATAAGCACAGCTAAACCTAAATAAAGAAATGTGATTAAACCTACAGATGGATAAAGGTTCAGCTACACATACATCTAGCTACAGGTCATCAATGAACAAGATGGGGTGATATCTATGAGGACTGACAATCTTGGAACAACTACTGCATAAAAATCCTCCTTTATGTAGCTAATGACAGATTTTCATACTAAGCAAGGCTCAACTGCTGATAGCACACTTACTTTCTTTTGAATGGATTAACAACTTAACCATTTCAAATTCCTACAGATTTATGATAAGAAAAAGCAGTCAATGTTACCCTTATTGTTATATATTAAACCATGTGAAAAAGGGTAAATTGGTGCAACACCAGACATAATTATCTTGCATGCATGGCGAGCAAGTGCAAACGACTGAGTCGACTTTGTTCCCAGGAAAAATTAGACACATGCCCACACGTTTAAACTCTCATCAGAGCATACGTGTTTAGCAAAAACTACCACGTACTGACGTAACTTTACTCAAACGTGTTGTGCTGCCTTGGAGAAATCCGCGGCCCCGAACCACGGATACGTACCTTTTTTGCCGAAACCAACGCCACGTTAAGCTCCCCATTCATAAGCAAAGGCCGAAGTTCTTTGACATTCCTCACATCTTTATAAACAACAATGTAAACGGAAAATGACTTGTCCCCCACAACCCAGTACGTGATGCTCCATGGGGGCCGCCATTATATCCGTCAAGAAGTGCATTTGCAGGAAAACAACAAACAATTTGTACCATTTGATGACGTCATATACAATACTAAGGCCATATTTACATATAACTGACGTCAATGACTATGCTTGTTTGCCCTCAAGAAGATAAAAATACTTTTTGTATCAACTTTATGAGTGATTAGCAAAGATTTGGCTAATCATGTTTATAAACGCCATGATTTTCTGGCTTTTCTGGTGCACACAACACACCGGTGACTTGCTTCGTTTCCACGACAACACCGAGTCGATTGCTCGGACTGCGGAGAGTGGGAAGGGGCGTTGGGGGCCTTCGGTTGGGGTGCGGACGGCTTGGTACCGTGCGGTTGGATGCAATTAGTAGCGGCGCATTTGTTGTGATCCAATTAGGTGTTGTGAGCACTGTAACGCGCCGCACCAGGAGCTTTCACTAGCCCAAGCCCTCGTTCGTGATGGCCGAAAAGGAGCAGACGAAGGCTACTGAACAGAACTCATCAAACTCCGTTCCTGACGAACCTAAAAATGTACAGGAACTTGCGACTTATGTAAGCAAGACGTGCTTCTCACGTTTTTCTATCAGATGTTGTGATGCATATAAGAAACGCCATTCAGTTTCCAGAAAGGCCTGTGTCTAGAAATTCTGCCGAACTTGGCCGAGGGCTGATTTTAGTGTAAGAGTGCTCTGGACTCACCTCACTGATGGCATGTGTCATGTGCTGGGGAAGGATTCTTGCAGACTGGCATGTCCATACGTTGGAACCTATTTTGCATGCTAAGGGCATAATTTGCAAAGTCATTGCAATGTTCAGGGATTGCTCCTTAAATAAGGAGAAATTGAGACTGCATGATTAGTGGTGCAACTCCTTATATCCATGCACCAAGTTGTACATTTGGCTGGTTGCCTTGATACACACATTTTGAAAATTGATATCTTCTCACCAGGCAGTTATATCAGGAAGAGTGATGGGATGCCACCACCAAATCTTGGCATTGGAAAAAGTGGTTTCAAAAAGTCAAAAAGGATTAAATTCTGTCCTGATGGCTCAATTGGTTGGAGTGCCTGCCTTCCAATCCACCCACCCCTGGCAGGGTGGGTTTGAGTCGCCTTAGGCGCTTGCCATTTGGCCTTGACAAGCATGGCCTGTGGCATGGAAGGGGTTGTGCTAAAGGTCAGTTGATGTCCCGCAGGACAGACCATGCCAAGCATTGCGGCACATAAAACTTTTGCCACTAAATTCTGCCGTTGCCTGGACTTGTGGAATCAAATGGTAGTGGTGACGGCTCACACAACAAGCACTGATTGGCCTTAGCTCTGATCCCAGAAATCCATCCATTCAAAAGGGTTCAGGTCAAATCTTAAGAAAAAGTAAAGAAAAAAGTCAAATGGTAAAAATTCTAAAGGGCAGCAAGCCAAGTGACAAAAAGTGAAATGTTATGCCAGAATGCTGAAAAGTCAAAAGATTAAAGTCAAGCATAAAGGTCTGTTAAATATAAAACATCATAGGGACAAAAATCAGGAGGGGCTTTGCCAAAAGACTTTCCCAATAATAGGCTTCAAGTCAGAATGAACCAGGTGCCAGGAGCCCTGAAGCAAATAAGGTTAAAAACCTGTTGATTATTTGGGATATTTCCACCCTAATCCAGGGAACCCCATAATCTGTTGACAGCCAGGAGGCTCATGCATCTCATTCATGTTTGGGCTTGGCCTCCTCTACATGTCAGCATGGCCCTTTGTATGCTTGCAGGGACCCTTTTGTTGTAGGCATAGTCAGTGATTACGCAGGAGCGAGGGAGCAAGGGGCAGTAACCCACCCACATAACTGAGCTGGTAGACCTAAATTGTCATTTCTGGCCCTTTCTGCACCAAGAGGCTTTATTTTGTCTGAAGGGCCTGAAACCACCTGTAAAGTTTTTCTGTAGCTAAAAATCCATGGCACCACTGGTATGAGGAATGTTCTGTTATGGCCATGGTTTTCTATAGTTTAAGGGATTTTAAGTGGATAAGCTAAAATATATACCATCGCGAAAAGTCATCATGAGCTAAGACACCTATCCAGGGATGTGGTTTCCTATTCAGTTGGGGGAGCTGAGCCGCCCCCCCCCCCCCCTCCCCGCTCCCACCTTGGGCTTCAGTCCCCTAGACTTTAGGAAGAAAGTGGCCAAATCTGGGGTGAAACCTGTTGGCAGATTTAAAGGCAGGTTTGGTCATTTTTCAATGTTCAGCCCTCCCCTTCCAACCATTTCGAGAAACACATCCCTGCACTTCCATCACGCAACCGGACCTTTTTTTGCCGCAAAGCTGGGACTCGGCCTATGCACCTTCTGCGGAGTCACGAGCCGATAAATGTCTTATTTATTCCAACTGGCTGAGCGGGCGGACTCTTCATACCCCCCCCCCCCCCCCCCTCTTAGTCCCTCCCGTGAATGCCTGACCAGAGGCTCTCGCTGTGTTTTAAAGCCCTGTTTAATCAAGGGAAGTGATTTTTGTAGCCGTTCATGCTGTTGTCCATTTCGCGTTTATCCCTTTTGACTTTTTGTTATCCGACTTTCTGCTTTAGACTGTTATCGTTTTTGACTCCTATCCCTTTAAATGTTTGTTCGATTGGATTTTTGCCTTTGACTTTTACTGCGTTGGAAGTTTTGGCTGTTTAGCTTTCTTACATTTGACTTTCAACCTTTTGACTTCTATTTGGCTTCTTGTTCATTTGACTTTTTTGGTTTGACTTTTTTGGTTTGGTTGGTTTTTTTGACGTTTGACTCTTTTGCGGTTGACTTTTATCCTGTTTGACTTCTTGCCTGTTAAATTTTTGTTTCTGACTTTTTGTTTATGATGTTGTGTCCTGTAACCAAAGCTATTTTGCTATGATTTCGCCAAAACGTTGTACTACGGCTTTGACCCCTCCCATTTGGCATTCAGCCACAACAGCTCTTTTCGAGGTGCACTCTGGCTTTGGAAAAGGGAGTATCACATGTTCGATGTGACGCACTGATTTAAACTTTAGCCCGTGCGCTTCTCGGTAACAGGCCGTTGTCCCGCTGGACTAATCACAGGCGGTCGTTTATCCGCGCCAGTCGAGATATGCACGCCGGCTGCCATGACGAGGGTGGCGCAACTGCAGGGAAGGAGCATAGTGCTGGTACAAAGCGTCGGCACATAATTTGGACTCAGAGATAATTAGAATTGATATCCTTGTTTATAGTAACGGTGTGCAGTAGCTCAACCCAGTGCTGGTATTAGACATGGCCAGTCCTGAGGTTTCATGGGAGAATGTTTTTAAATATGCCGTTCAGGTGGGACACTTTCTTTAGTGGGAAGTGAAGAAAATAACACCAAGTTGACAAGGGATAACTTAAGAGCAAAAATGACTTGTGGATGTCAGGTCATCACCAAATGTTACCTACGTCACACTCAGTTAAGCGCCGAGTACTAGATGTTAAGTAAAAGTGTTTGGGACTGATCTTTATACTTTCATAAAGTTATGAGGAACAGACAACTAGTTTTTTCGGGGAGAAGCAACTAAGACACAAAACAATGGTTGAAGGAAGTAGTAACTTGATAAACCTCATAATTGTGCGACCTTAGGTTGGATCGTGGCTGAATATGACCATGGGACCATAGGACCATAGGATCATAGGATCATAGGTTAAGCACTTGTACTTTGGCATGCCTGATAGTCGGCCTTGGTTAGTGTGAAATTTGGTTGCTGCTGTTTCTGCAATCCTTTGGCTGTAATTTTCATGAATTCATAGGCAAAATACCCAAAATGATCAGCATACACAGCTGCTTTGTTTATTTGCATTTTACCTGAGGTCAGGACGTACATAGTACTTTCACGCCACCTCATTTCACCTGCCATCAACAGGCATTTCAAAAAGGTAGTGGGACTCTACTCCGTTCCCATGAGAGCAAGACACAATGTAACGAAAGAAACACAGATGACTCAATCATGCTTTGTATTGTCATGAGTCTTGACCCTAGGGAAAATACTTGTGAGTAAAAGCATCAAGATGGAAACCATGAACACGCCCATGATCCACAAGATCTATGTTGCGCTATTCCTGCCCAGAAGTGCAGGTATAGTTCTTAGGTGTTAGCTGTAACAAACGTTGTTGCCATTGAAGTGGCATTTGGTGTAGCAATATCCCACATTCTAGTGGCGCATTATGTTCATTAAATTCCATGAGTGAAGGCAATGCAAGTATTCGAAGGGTCCTTCAAAAATTTTAAACGTATTAACCTTATACGTATAAAACTATTGACGTGGTTTGTGTCCACCTCCTTGGCAGGTGCAAAGCCTGCTGGAGAACATGCAGCAGCGCTTCCAGACTATGTCAGACAACATCATCAGCCGAATAGACGAGATGGGCGACCGGATTGACGAGCTGGAGAAGAGCGTGGCAGACGTGATGACTCAAGCCCAGACGGTGGACGACGGAGACAAGTAGTCCCACCCGGCGGCCCCCCAGTGGGTCTACGGCCGATCTCTGGCGCCCGACGGCGTGCGCGGGGCGCGGACACATGTCGGTGTTCAAAGCTTTCAGCCTTGGCTGGCCTGAGTTTGTGTTTGGTTGCTGTGCCGGTCGGCGCGCGCGGGAAGGCGAAGCGAGCGTCAGTCGATCGGCACCGCTGTCGTGAGCGCCGCCCGCTCCTGCGGCGGCCGGCCGCACGCCAGGCCCCGTTTGGTGGGCCCCCGCGGGAGTGGTCGATACGCGATACTCGATAGTCGCGGCTCGCTGCTCTGCTAAGGCACATTGAAGAACGGGATGGGCTGCACCATTGATCACTGCCCGTCGACTCCCAGTCATCGTTTGATTGCATCCATCCCGCGCCCAGCACCGTTTTGGAAGGTCACGATGCTTGCAGCTGCCG